TAATGAAGATCTAGAAATGGGGAGAGAGCATTATGAATAGACCCTTGAGTTCATTAATGGAATGGCTGAAATATACCGCAGTGAACATGAACATTCTATAGTATTTAAAGAAAAAATTCGTAAATTATTTGGTGAAGAATTAAGAATGATTAGCCTGGAAGATGATTCTAAAAATGATAGTGTATTGGAATCTAATGTCTTTTCGAAAAGTGTTTTACGCTTTCTTGTTAAAATGAAAAATAAAATTGGCACTGGTAGCTGTGATCCAACTGTTTAGGCTAGTGCTTCTTTTGCAAAATATTATATCCAAGAGACATATGGGGAAGTACTCAAATGGTGCAATTGGCTGTCTTTTATCTTGTACTTAGCTAGACCATGGGTGTGTATTTTAGAGACAGTATATATTGAGAAACCCATTATAGATCCCTTGACAGACTTTATACCTCTTATTCCTACAAACAATCGAGCCTATACGGAGCGAGTGGCATGACTTTTCAAAGCTTTGTACTTGGGAGTTAACAGGCTAAAAGAGTATTATGCATCACTAGATATATCTACAAATAGACAAAATTTATACCATTTTTTTCTTTATCCGAATTAATACAAACACCAAGATACAATCATAGAATTTACATATGAAGGAAAACTTGTTAATCACAAGCTTCTTTGGAGAGCCATAACAAAAGATGGGCAGAAAATTATTGCTAAGTTTGCGTAGCAGTATAATCGTAGAGCATACGAACTATATTACAAAATTAGAAAAGCTCCAAAATTACTCTATATTAGCAAAGAGATGGTGGACGGTTTCTATATGGTAGTGATGGATTATGTTAAGGCAGAACCACTTTATAACTGTAGCTCACTTAGTTGTAATAAATATAAGGCAATTTTAAGGGATATCAAAGAAGCTATTGACAAATTGCATGAGAAAAGTATAGTTTTTGCTGACCTCTGTGATTCCAACATTCTAGTTGACAAATCTCAAGGCCAATATAAAAGAATGCTTATAGATTTTGATTGGGCTAGTAAAGATGAAATTGAGTGCTCACCATCTTTTATGAATCATAAACATATTACTGTAATTGGTCACCAGAAGCTGAAGATAGGAAGAAGCTGAGTCGTAAACACAATGTTTATTGGTTGGAGCTGTTGAAATCTAAATACTTGAGTGAGAGTATAGATCTAGAATGATTAGTTAGTATGGTATTTGAGGATAAAGTGGAAAACAAACAATTATGTGTAACAAGCTGTGCATGTATTCAATACAATTTGTTTTTAATGATATAATAATAAATGAATCCTCAAATTAATCATATTCATACGTTTCAGAAATATTGTATACCTATCTCTCTTGGTTTTGTTTACGAGAATTAAAATATTTATTATCTGTTCTATTTATTATGAATTTTGGCTGAAAATTTTGATTTTCAATTATTATCTTTGTATATTCTCCGGGCAAAAGAAATACCCTTATGATTGAGAGTTATTTTTAATGGCATTGATACTAGCAAGTCGATAAATAATAAAATTTATATAAGTTTTTAGCAATAATTGAGATAGAATTTATATATTTTATTTTTTGCTATATAAATAAAGCTGGTCACAGTAGCTCAATTTTACATAAATAATCAGTTTACTTTTGCGTATATATTTCGTGAATTTATTTATTGTATTGATACCAATGTATAACTCACATATGATCAAGAATTTTTAAAAATTTTCTTGGCATTTTTTGATAAATATTGTTTGCTGAAATTTCATTATATGACTTCTGGTTTGGTTCTCTCAAAAAGATACCTTATAAAAATAATTGAAATTAAAAAGCATTAGAATAACAAAATATTTTTTAGCACTTTGTGCAGACACAGCCAAGACGTGGTTAATAAAAATCTTTTTCTGAGCATTTGTGATAAAGTTATATAATATAATATTAAATATGTGAACACAGGAAGAAAAGACTAAAGACTTATCCGAAACTGTTTCATTACAAGAATTAAATTCAAAGCTTATTGTCATAATTGCAAAACTTAGAAGGGAGAATTCTGAAATCAAGACTGAGAACATCGAACTTAAAGCTGAGAATGTAAAAGCTAAAACTGAAAATAAAAAATTAAAACAAACTTTAGAAGAACATGGTGCCAGATTTATGAATCTAGAACAGAAAAATAAAAAAAAAACAACCTTATTGCTAAACTTGAGCAGAACAATAAAGAAAAATAGATCTTATAGCTAAATTGAAATATGATGTTTCACTAATCAAAAGACAAGACAAGAGTATGGTGTGCAATCAAATCGTTACTAATATTTCGCAAGATGTAGAACCTGAAATCTCTGATTCATATCCTGTAAATTCTAATAATGTTCCTGAAGATATAAATTTACTATGTGATGATATTAATATAACTAATAATGCTTCAAATTCTGATAAGCATCAAGAAGAAACTTTATCTCGAGTCTCCAATTTATTTTCGACTGTATTAGCCATATGTGTAAAGCCTAAATCATTAGAAGATAAAAAAATAGATAATTTTCTGATTGAAAAACATAATGAACAGATTCGTAATAAAATAAGAGAAAAAAAGCTTCAATATAGGCTACCTATTGAAAGTTCTCCAAAAGAGGACATTTACATATCTAATATTAAATCTAGTATTCCTCTCAAGCAGAAAAAGAAGCAAGGTTTAATACAAGAGATTTCAACATTTATTAAAGATCAGAATAATATAACTAGAATTTCACAGAACAATGTTCGTCAAAATCATATAACTGAAGTCGCTTCAGACCAAAATATCATTTGTTTATACCAAAATGCATGTGATGCAGAAAAAGACGCTATTAAAGCTAATCAAGAAGAAATATTATGCTGGTGTTTCTATGCTAAAAAGTTTAAAGGTATGGTTAAAGATTTTATGACTAATGGTAGAGTTGAAGAGAAAAAAGCAAAAGGACAAGTATATGATTTTATTATTCAACAACCTCCTAATACAACGTGTGAAAACTTATACAAGCAAATACAAAAAGCATTAAGAGTTTATAACTTATTCGAGAAAATAGGAATGGATAAGATTTAGTATACCAAATCTTATACTGCAGATAGTATTTCAAAATTTACTAATTTACAGATTTAAATGATTATTAATCATTTTACTAAAAACTCTAATAGAATTCACTGATAATTCTTCTAATAACTTACTTGAAACTAAGATTAATGAGGAAGCTAAAAGAATTTTATCAGAAACAGAGATAAGTATTACAACCACCCTCTATCCTGTTGTCTCATACATATAATTTGGAAGTTATGATAAATGAGAATGTCAAATCTTTGCCAAAAACTGAAGTAAGCATATCTGCTAAATCGATTTCAAAGGAACCAGAAACTGTAAATATATTCAATAAGTATAATGAAAATGATGGTGAATTCTCTGATGATAACGACGATAAATTTTCTGATAATAATAATAATGGAGATTATTGCAGTTTTTCTAACAAAGATAAACCTGGTTATTACTATGATTTAAGTAGCAGGAAAAAAACTTATAAGAATTCTGATTATTTAATTAGTAGCATAGATTAATGAAGTTAACTTAATAGTTTTCACTAATTAATAATCACAAACTATATTGTAAAAAATTATGTAAAAATAAAAAATGGTAAGATATGGAACTCTTCTTTATTTATAAAAATTATTATTGCTAGAACAACAATATAAAAATAAAAAATATATATTTTTATTATATAAAAAAAAACATATGCCTCAAAGAAGCACCTTTAATGGGCTAGGTTTGGTGTGGGTTTACATTTGATCTAACATTTCCTCTCGCTAACCAGAATTTAGCCAATTATTATTATCATTGTCCTTATCACATTATAGGTTTTTTTTCAGCATTTTTCTTCAGGTCTCATCATCTAATTTTTAGTAAAATAAAAAACTTAGTTCTGATAATTATATTTTAGCACAAATATACTAGTTTACTTACAAGATAAAAATTTTCTCGGCTTGTATTGTCATTTTGATTTAGAGGTTGTGCTATCTTTAGTTTAGAAGTGATGCTATCTTTAGTCTTGGGGTGGTGCTATCTTTAGTCTTGAAGGTGGTGCTATCTTTAGTTTTGGGGGTGGTAGTATCATTAGTCTTGGAGTAGTAGTATCATTAGTATTAGGAGCGGTAATATCATTAGTATTGGGTGGTGTTATTATTAGTACTTATTTTTCATTCCTAAATACAAAAAATTATATTAAGAAAACAATCAGTTTTAGACTATAATAAATAGCAAATACTACTTTAAAAAATAATTATGGTCAGGTAAAAAAATATATACGAGCAAAAAATATTATCCCTTAGATTGTAGACTAACGCAGACAAATTTGCCTGTGTTGGTACTATAAATATGCTACTGATCTATTTTTTTAACAATTTAGAATATTCAAA